TCGTCGTCAAGAAATTCGTCGCGGCGTGGGCGAAGTCCGCGCGCGGCGGCTTTGCGCGCGCCGTCCGGAACCCCGCCCCCCAAACAGCAAGCGACATGGCGGCGAGACGGGCGAAGCAGGACAAGGGCGAAAAACCAAGCTGCTCCGACTCTGAAGAGCAACGTTGTCAAGGCAGAAACGTCGGGGGAGGACGAAGAGGCGTCGGCGACGACGGCGGCGACGGCGGCGGCGACGCCGAGGGCGACGGCGACGACGACGACAACGAGGGCGACGGCGACAACGACGAGGAAGGGGGAGAGGGAGGCAGCGCCCCGCGCGGTTATCTCCGCGCCCTTGCGAGGTCATCGCGTGACCGGGGGGCTACCTTGGAGGAGGGTGGCTCTCTGGTCCGGCCCACAGCGTGCGATGCGCCATCATTTTCGCGCCCCTGGCGGTGACCGAGTTTCCGAAAGCCACCGATTCTCTCAAGATGATCGCTAGTCAAGAATAATGTTTTGCCATGTCCGTTATCTTGCAAACGTGCAGATATGCCGGCCGTTATCTGGCAAACTTGCTACCGGGCAAACCTCTTATTTGGCAAAGTAGTTATCTTGCAAATCTGTCATATGAGAACTCTGTGATCAGACAAACGCGCATCGCAACATATGCAAACTCCAGCTCGCCACAAGCAGCTCATTTCTAACTAGTCGGCCGTGCGGTTGATCGGGAGTTTGTGAATACATACTACGTCCTGGCGTCACGCCCTCCCCCTCTGGGCGCCGCGGAGGGCGACCAGGCGGACTTCAAAATGGACGCGCGGCAGAGGTTCGTGCTGATCAACAGCTATGTGTTGGGGACCTGAGAAAGCACAGTCGGCTCCGGCGTGAGTGTGCTCGCGGTTGGCCGCGTCCCGCCCCCGCCTCTGCCCGTTCTCTTCCTGCTCCGCCTTTTTCTGCCTCCCCGCGCGGCTGGGAGAGACCTGCTTTCGAGCCGTCGGCGCCGCTCGGCGCCTCTCCCTCCCTCCTTTCTTCCCCTGCCCCTCCCTCCCCCCTTCCGGACCCTCCAGACCCCCCGGACTCCGCCCCCCGGCCCACTCTTCCTCCTCCCCACATGTTTCCTTATTTGGTTCCTCTTCCTCATCCTCCTGCTCCTGCTCCTGCTCCTGCTGCTCCTCCTCCTCCTCCTCCTCCTCCTCCTCCTCCTCCTCCTCCTCCTCTTCTGCCAGGCTGATAATATATTCTGGATACACAGATATGGTGTATGTCATCTGGCAAATCTGTTATATGCCACATATGTTATCAGGCACATCTGGTACATGGCAAATAAAATAAACAGCGCACCTGGCATTTGGTACCTATGGTAAACATAGCAACTGTTATAGGGTAAGTTCTTTGCGTGGTAAACGTGTTATCAGGTAAATAGGTTAATTGGCAAACTGACTGTCTTACACATGCTGAACATAACACATTCGTTATATTGCCAACGTGCCAATATGTCGTCTACTACCGGGCTAAACTATTTTATGGCAAACATGTTGTTTAGCATGCAAAATATCTAGGCCATATGCTTTCTGCAGTTCAGTGTGTTGGAAAACTTTGTAGATGGTAAACCTGGAAATCTGGCATGCCTGTTATCTGGCAAAGCCAACATCGGACAAGTCTGTTATCTCGCAAACGTGTGAATACCTTATCCGTTATCGGGCAGATCTGTTATCTCGCAAATCTGTGATGTACCATATCTGTTATCTGACAAACAGGTCGTCTACAAGAATGTGCTCTGGAAGCGTTGTTAAATGGTGCATCTGAGAGTCTCGGCTTCATATCCAGAGAAGCCGCGGCGAGCAGCATCATTAATTTAATTAATTTACTGAATCACTACATCTTACTTTAACTAATCTAATTAATTTGATTGATTTGCGCCTCGCCTACAGGCTCTGGCGATCGCGGGGAGCAACCTAATCAATTTAATCAGTTTCACGAATTTAATTAATATGTACAGCTTCATACAATTCATGTAATTATTATGCTGGTCTCAGCGCTCGCCGGAGGCTCTGCGGTAGGAACCCAGAAAATTAATCGCATTAGTTAGATGATATAAATTAATTACATAAGTTCCGTATGATTTGATTGAATAAACTGAATAAATCAGATAAGTTCCATTTATTTAACATATTTGATACATTTAATTAGTTAAATCAATTTTTCGGCCTCGCTGGCGGAGATCCTGGTGAACCTCAGGGGGCCGCCATATTCATTTAATCTTCTTAGTTTATTTCAGTAGTCCGCCAGGATTAATTAAATAAATTAAATGAATTCTGCTGCGCCTAAGGCTGGCCAGAATCTCTGCCAAGGAGGCCGGAGAAAATAAATCTAATAAATTAAATAAGTTGATAAAAGTACATACGTTGACTGTATGTACTTGAATCCATTACTCAATATGACTGGATTCAACAAATTATGTAAAATATATGGCCGAACTTATTTTATTCATTTAATGCTTCCATGCGCTTGAATTCAGTAAATATGATAAATATAGAAATGGAATAAGTAAGATAAGCTGCGCTTATTTAGCATATTCAATTTACTTGAATTATGTTTCGGCCTCGCTGGAGGAGATTCCGGTGAACCTCAGGGGGCCGCCATATTTATTTAACTTAATTATTCTATGTATTTCATTTAATTTATGCCAAGATTATTTTAAGTTATTAAACTAATTATGCTGCGCCTGAGGCTGGCCAGAATCTTCGCCAGGGATGCCGGAGAACATAAACTAAAATAGATTAAATAATTAGATGAATTGGATAAATTGAATAAACTAATTAAAGTGAATATATCTAATCCCTAACATTGCTCAATGTAACTAAATTGAATATGAATAACCAATTAATCAAGGTGAACTTTTGAAGCTGTTTTCTGAAATATTAATTCACTTAACCTAAATAACGAAATTAATTCGACATATTGTACTGGCATTTTCCCCAATCATACATATATGCGTTACTGGAGAAAAATCATGCCTTTGGGGGGGCTATAGGGCTATAGGGCTATAGCGCTGGGCTCTTATGGCTATAGGGCTATAGAGCGAACGTGGGGTATAGAACTATTGGGGCTATATGGCTATAAGGCTATGTGGCTATAGGGGTATAGGGTTATACGCCGATAGGGCTACAGGGCCAAAGGGCTATCGGGCTATATGGCTATAAGGCTTCAGGGCTAGAGTGCTACTGGGCTATATCGGGTATAAGGCTATTATGCCTATAGGGCTGTAAGGCATGGGTCTATAGGGCTATAGGGCTATAAGGCTATAAGGGCTATAGAGCTATAGCGCTACCGGGCACCTGGGCCCGCACCTGGGCACCCGGGCACCCTGGGCACCTGGGCACACGGGCACCCGGGCACCTGGGCCGGCCACCGAAATCGGCGGCACACCTCACCTAACCATATGACACTGGCGAACAAAAACAACTCACAATCTTTTTATATAGGGCAATGGAGCTATAGGGCTATAGGGCTAGAAGGCTATGGGGCTATAATGCTATAGGGCTACAGGGCTATAGGGCTATTGGGCTATAGGGCTATAAGGCTATAGGGTTATAGGGCTATATGGCTATTTGGGATATAGGACTATAAGGCTATAAGGCTAAAGGGCTATAATTATTTCGCTATGGTACTATTAAGGCTATTGGGCTATATTGATATAGGGCTACAGGGCCATAAGGCTATAGGGCTATAGGGCTATGGGGCTATAGGCCTACCGGGCACCCGGGCACCCCTGGGCACCCGGGTACCCGGGCACCCAGGCTCCCGAGCACCCCAGGGCACTCGAGCACCCAGGCACCCGGGCACCCGGGCCAGCCACCTAAATCGGCGGCGACGCTAACCTAACCATATGAAACGCTCAGAGGCAAGCTCTGATTGGGGAAAGAATCCGCTAGGACCCCTATACCCTTATACCCCTATAAAATTATATGGCTCGGTTAGCTGTGACACCGATTTCGGCGGCACGCCTGGGTGCCCGGGTGCCCGGGTGCCCAGGTACCCGGGTGCCGGGGTGCCCGGGTGCCCGTGTGCCGGGGTGCCCGGGTGCCTGGGTGCCAAAGTGCCCGGGTGCCCAGGTGTCCAGGTGCACGGGTGCCCGGGTGCCCAGGGGTGCCCGGGGGTGCCCAGGTGCCCGGGTGTCCAGGTGCCCGGGTGCCCTGCAGCCCTACAGCCTTATAGCCCTACAGCCTTATAGCCTTATTGCCCTGTAGCCCTATAGCCCAAAGAGCCCTAAGAGCCCTAAAGCCCTATTAGCCTTATAGCCCTATAGCCCAATAGCCCAATAACCCTATAGCCTTATAACCCTGTAGCCCTGAAACCCTATAGCCCAATAGCCCCAAAGCCCCATAGCCGTATAGTTTGATAGCCCTAACGCCCTATAGCCTTTTTAGCCCTATAGCCTTATGGCCCTGTAGCCCTATAGCCCTATATGCCTATAGCCCGATAGCCCTATAGCCATATAGACCTGTAGCCCTATGGTCCTATAGCCTTATATCCCCATAGCCCTAAAAATACTATGACTGCGGTTTCTCTCCCGTATCATGTGTATACATATGCACATATATATACATATGTTGATGTATATGTATATGTATCCGTATATGTTCATACATACACATATGTGTATACACTGCATCGAGGCAAGCAGACGTTTTCTCTGACGTCTGCGTGCAGGCACTTTACGCATCGTGGAGCGGGCTCGGTGATCCTCGGCACTTGCAATCTTTTATGCCTGCGCGAAGTCCGCGACCCCCAGCACTCGGCCTCTGGCCCTCGAGCCTCGGTCCTCGATCCTCGGTCCTTGATCCTCGGCCCTCGTTCCACGGCCCTCGATCCTCGATCCTCGGTCATCGGTCCTCGATCCTCGACCCTCGACCCTCGACCCTCGTTCCTCGAGCGGTGCTGGCGCTCGATCCGCGAGCCTCGGTCCTCGAAGCCTCGAAGTTCACGCTCGCGCGAGTTCTGATCTGCCGCGCTCCGAACCTCGAGCGCAGGCACCTGCCCGAACGGGAGGTAGCCGCTCCCGCGCAGCCGGTTGACCTCGTCGTACGAGGCGCGCACGTCCTCGACGCCGACGGCACCCACGATGACGATGCCGCCGCCGCCGACGACGACGACGACGCCAACGACGACGATGACAACGGACGACCGACGGCGGCGGCGGCGACGACGACATCGGACGATGGACGACAGGCGGTGGCGACGGCAATGACGATGGCGACGACGATCCCATCGACGACGGAGACGGCCTCCTCCAGTGATCCACAGAAGTCCCGAGCAGTCCCCGGAGGCCAATGGCGATGAAGCTAAACAAACCTTGACCGTCGAACCTCGACAACGACGACGGCGACGGCAGAGGCGACTGCGACTGCGACTCCGACGATGACGACGACAAAGCTGCCGCCGCTGCCGCCGCCGACGCCGCCGCCACCGCGCGGAAATCTGCAAGTCCCCAGAAGCCTCTGGAGGCCCAGGGTGAAGCGCGCCAGGAGGACGCTCGATCCGATGGCGGCGCCCACGACGACAACGACGATGGCGGCGGCGCGACGGCGCTGCTTCGGCGGTGGCGACGGCGGCGTCCTCGAAGGCCACGCAGGCGACGTGGAGCGCGAGGCGGATGGGCTCGCCGGAGGACTTGGCGTCGAGGTAGGTGAGCTTGACGATCTCGCGGACTGCAGTAGACACATACGATGAGAAGTCTTGCTGCAAGGACTACCTACCAGACCACCCCAACCCAACCCGACGACCCGAATTTAGGGTTGGGGGAGGAGTACGGGTTCCATACGTGTTTTTTCAGTGTTCCTTGACCCCCCCACACTGGAAATGGAGGGCAAAGTGAGGCCTTTGGGTTGGGTTGGGGTGGCTTGGTGGGTGTGCAATGCATCTTGGGGCAAACTCTTCGGCTGTCGCTGAGGGCCTCGAGGTGCCCTGGTGCTTCTGCGGGTCCCCAAGGCCATCGGGGGAGCAGAACTTTCCGCAGGGCGCCTGCCGGCGGGCCGATTTCACATGATTTTACAATTGACGGTGAACGCTTTCTTGCTCGGCGTTTTTCGATATTGGGCGGAAGGGGGGGGGGGGAGGGGGGGCGTCTGGCTTTGGACCTCCGCTTAATGCGACTGCTTGCAGCAGTGCGTCCTATGGTGGAGACTCCACCTGCTTAAAACAGGCGCCCAAAACAGCCAAAATCTACTCCATCGGGGGTGGGGAGGGGGGGTACGAGGACCCGCGTCGATCGGCAAAACGGTGAATAAGAAAACGATCACATGTCACATGTGCCGTATGGGGCCATCCTCGTGATAAGCACGCCTGCACGCGAAGCCCGTTAGTGAACGCCCCTGGGGAATGACTCGTTCAGGGCAGGACTGCTTAGTACGCGCCCAAGGACTATTCAGTACAGCGGGATATGGGTGTTGGAGTGTTATCTCTGTTCCACCATTGAAACAGGGCCGCTACGACTTCTTCCGGGGCTGCTACGCTCGACCAGCGAGCTGTTGACCACGACTAATTAGTCAGCTGCGGCTCGATGGCAAACACTGTAAGCCAACGTCCTCGCTGCGGTGGCCATGCTACTTCCTCGTTGGACGGAGCCTGAACTGCGATCTGGCTCATGTCTGAACGTTAGCCCCCACATGCATTAATGTGCCATGCTTTAGTAGTCAATGCGTAGAAGTTGGATGAGAGTGATAAGCGGCCATGCCCTCATTACTCCTTCAACGCTTCAACGCTCTATTTACAACGACGATCGCGCAATGCTGTACCTAAGCAGCTTCCGCGGGAAACCAGCCACATCCGAGTACGAATTGCCTTTCAAACTCAATCACAACTCTTCCTGCATACGTTCGACATTAGCGACTTCGTTCAGTCGGCAAAATTCACACATATTCTGAACTGTCCGTGGCTGGATCACTCAGACTCGGGTGCAATTCAATCGGCTAGCTTGTTCGCCGTATTCAGACTTGCAGTAGCTGCGCCTGCATGTTCGGCCGATTTGGCATTGCAGCGTGAACTGAATTGCGGACTCGTCACATACAGGCACTAAGTACACCACTGCGTTTAATAACCCAGTGACGTACCCAATCCTTTTCTCATATGGGACAGCTATATTAACAACCGCTCAACACAAACGAATATGATGAAAAACGCGCGCTTCGCAGCCCCCTAAGGATCCACAAGGTCTTGGCCGGCTCCGCGTGGACCTCCTCTCCGCTGGACCTCGCAGGAGCTTACGAATTGGAGGCAAGTTGCGCGGTTCGCAGGCCCCCAGTGCCCGCAAGGTGCGTGGACCTCAACTCCGCTGGACCTCCCAAGAGCGCACTGACATGGCGACCAAATGCACCGCGAGGTCTCGGCAGGTCCGTGTGGACCCCCAGACCGCTGGACCTCCCAAGAGCCCACGACAGCGGCGACAAGTGCGCGGTTCACATCCCGCTGGGAGCCGCGAGGTCTCGGCAATTCCGTGTGGACCCCCAGACCGCTGGACCTCCCAGAAGCTCACTGATATGGCGACACTTGCGCGGTTCGAAGCCCCCCAGGGAGCCGCGAGGTCTCGGCAGGTCCGCGTGGACCTCTACTCCGCTGGACCTCCCAAGCGCCCACGAACCTGGCGACAATTGCGCGGTTCGCAACCCCGCAACCCCCGCAAGGAGCCGCGAGGTCTCGGCAGGTCCGCGTGGACCCCCAGACCGCTGGACCTCCCAGGAGCCCACAAACAAAAACAACAAGTGCGCGGTTCGCAGACCCGCAACCCCCGCAGGGAGCCGCGAGGTCTCGGCAGGTCCGCGTGGACCTCCAGACCGCTGGACCTCCCATGAGCCCACGAAAAAGACAACGGGTGCGCGGTTCGCAGACCCTCGGGGAGCCGCGAGGTCTCGGCAGGTCCGCGTGGACCCTTAGCTGCCCTGATACGCAACACGCAACACGCAGCGTATTGATACGGAGCTCAACACGTAAACTGAAAACGTAGGTCTGACGCGATGCGTTCGCCAAAACGTGGGCCAATACGCTGATCCAACACGCAACGTATGGACACGGACGGTTTGAGCACGGTACGTGCTGCGTATCAAAACGGGCGTATCGAGGCAGCTAAGAAGCAGGTGCGCGGTTCGCAAACCCGCTGGGAGGCGCGAGGTCTCGGCAGGTCCGCGTGGACCTCCACTCCGCTGGACCTCCCAGGAGCCCACGAAAGCGGTGGCACGTGCGCGGCTCGCAGACCCGCAGGGCCCGCGAGGTCTCGACGAGGGAAAGGACGACTAAACAGGAACGAAAGGGGACAGGGTAATGGGCGAGGGGTGGTCTGAGTACCTCAATGGTTCTGGGTCCCCGGACTACAATGGCCCCCCTTGGACTACAAGGGCCCTCCCCCGGACTACAGGGACCCCCCCCGGACTACAAGGACCCCCCCGGGCTACAAGGGAGAGGACGACTAAAAAGGCACGAAAGGGGACAGGGGAATGGACGAAGGGTAGGCGGGGAGGAAGGATGAGGGACGAGGACGAGGAGGAGAAGGTAAGACCCGCACTGCTCCATTCAGAACGAGAACACAAGCAAGGGAGGGCTGGGAAAAAGTAGGAGGCAGGAGGCCGGAGGCGGGGCAGGAGGACAACTCGACCAGTGCTCTATTCCAAACGCGGACCCAACGCAGGAAACAACGGAGGCAGGAGAAAGGCAGAGAGGCAGGAGAGAGGCAGATGATGCAGGAGAAAGGAGGGGAGGAGGAGGGGAGAGGAGAGGAGAGGAGAGGAGAGGAGAGGAGAGGAGAGGAGAGGAGAGGAGAGGAGAGGAGAGGAGAGGCAAGGAGAGGAGAGGAGAGGAGAGGAGGGGAGGGGAGGAGAGGGAGGAGGAGGAGGAGAAGGAGGAGGAGGAGGAGGAGGAGGACCGCTCCGATGACCCGTGGTCAGTTTCCAAAAACCCAAGGCCTCCCATTGTGGGAGGGTTGAGAATGGGCCTCAAACTAGGCCCATCATGAATTTCTTGTCCAGAAAATTCTGACCAGAGGGAGTGCGCGCCTGGCACTCCTTTAACAAGTTCTGACTGCTGCGGGTGGCGTGGGACCCGCAGCTCAAACACAGGAAAGTCCCCCTCTGTGTGACCACCATCTCGTGCGACGGGTGCAGGAACGAGGCCCCGAGAAACGCCCCGCGCACAGATTTCACGCCGTGGACGGGTCCAGACCAGGGCTCGGCGGGCACACAGGGGGTTCTCAGAAATTCTTGTGAGGGCTTTGCCCCGTGCGAATTGATCGAGACCACCGACAAACACTTCACACATTGAAACCTATTACCAGCTTTTACGTGCTGCATCTCATGGCTACTTTCAGCCATGAGCTTGGCCATCTTTGGGCCGACAATCTGCTTGGGACCAGGGGCCTTGGGCTTCGGCTTCGGCTTAGGCCGAGGCCGTCGTGGGATCCCGGGGCCCACATCCTGAGACTGCTCGGCATACCCACTTAGGAAAACGTCGGTGGCTCGATTCCTTATACTCTTAGACAGGGCGAGTCCGAGCTCCACAGCTTCGACCTCACCTGGGGATAACTGGTGCCTGCTAACTACATCGTCTGCTAGTTTGTCTGCTAAATAATTGCCGACAAACGCGAAAAGCAGGCGTGCCTTTTCAGAGCGGCTCTCTCAGCAGACATGTGTGATTCGATCTTCAAGACACTGATCGACCGTCGAACAACTGCAGCACGGACTCTCTTCCATTCGTTGTTGTACGTATCAGGGAACATACCGTTCTGAACCTTCAGGAAACCTTGGGAAACATACGAACTGTCGGTGACGTAGATCAGGTAGGGGCCCACAGGGGAGTCCTCCAGGAATCTCAAGAAGGCTATCATCTCCCCGTGATTTATAGTCTGCTCGTTCCAGACTGCTCCTGAAACTTGCCTGGCCACTTCAAGTCGTGGTTCCAGCTCGGAGATGTCGAACTGCTTGAACACTATGTAGGCCCAAGCTACTCTCCGAAAAAGGTCTGATGACGAATGCTTCCCGCCAGACGCGTCACCCGCTCCCACCAGGATGCCTGAGGAGACCGGAAATTCGCCATGTGCGTGAAACTCGGCGTCTTCCTCAAACGGTGGGGGGGTCACTGATGTCCAGGCAGCAGGCGTGACACCTCTCAGCCATAAGGACGGCTGGGCCTCGTGCTGTGTGTAAGCGCGGGGCAGCAGAAAGTCGGTCGATACGACCGCGGGCAGCTCTTTGTTGCATCGACACCCCCATATCCTGTGAAAGTGATTCTCCTTCGCCTCCCCACATCTGTCGCACAGCTCTGAATAATCCTCAGGCGATTGACATACTTGTTTGATGCGGGTGCGGGGCCACTGGCCTCCTGTGGAAACTGTGAGCAAGGATCCTGCCCAAGCGTACTGGTCGGCTGCCCTAGCAGCCTTCAACTGTCTGCGTATGTCTTCAAGGTACACCCCTGCTGCTACGTCTTCACTCTCGTGATGGTCTGCTGCTTTCCTCCAAATCCTCCTCCTGGCCGAACTGGCAAGCTCCCGCTTGAGATCGCTTATGTCGAAAACCTTTGATTCCAGTATCTCCTCCGTCGCGAAAAACTGCCCCCCTTGGTCCGAGGTCCAGTCCCAAGGCCGAGTGGGATCCCAATTGAGGTCCAAGAGAGTATTGATGATGGCCCTCGCGGGCCCAGTAACTTTCCTCCAACGATGCCGTGGTCGAGCTCGAGCTCGCGCGAGATGGGCATCCCAACCTCGAAGGGCAAGGTTACGAGCTCTCGCTCCTGATGTGGTAATAGTAAGCCAAGAATCTAAAGATCGAAAAGCTTGCGCCACTGCAGGACCCTTGTCGCCCAGCTCGATCTGTAGCAACGCGTCCAGACAGCGGCCTCTAAACGCGCTGGAAAGAGTCTTGCCCAGTGCTCGCCGCCAGGCCTGAACAGAAGACGGGGGCATTCCGTAGACAGTTGCATCGTAATTTACTTTAGCCAAGCTGCCTTGCTGGATTACTCGACGAGCTGCTGCACGACCACGACGACCCGTAGCTGCTAATTTACCTGCTGCTCTCACTTGTTGCCACGCTTGCCGACGACGTATAGCAGCTTTTAAGTCTAGCTCTCATGCCCCGACCTCGATCGACCCCCAAATCCACAACCTTTTGCCCAACAGTAATGCGAATGTTATGTTGCGCTAACTTGCGGGCAACTTCACGGGCCACTAGAGGGTTGCTGCAGACTATCCTTGACTTGGAAGCAATGGTCAAATGCGCTGTATGACAGAGTCGCCCTAGTGTAGATCCAGCTTTAACTAACGCCTGGGTCACAAACTTAATCGAACCGTATCAACTCTGAGTAATATCATCCACCCAAGAAGACAAATCCACTGCTGGTGGGTATTTATTGTAAACGAACTCCAGGACCGAATAGAGATAAAATCTTCCAAAATCAAGACCTCGACGGGCTCCTGCAATGATACTCTTGGCGGGCTGCACGGGCTCCGAGAAACTGCGATTCTCTCGGGAAATTCTAGAAGCCAAATGAACCAGGCCTTCCAAGACGAGCACCTGTGGGGGGAACTGCTCCTCGAGGCCCTGCTCAAAGAGTCTGTCAAATTCGAGTGAGTCGTAGAAGGCGTCGATGTCCCATGACAGCGCAGAAGAGATTGTATGGTCCGGGCCTGCGCCAACTGACTCATCCATGAACGCTCGAAGTAAGCCGACTCTAAGACAAGAAGAACCTCTGACTGCCTTATCCCATTTACCTGCTACCTGATCCACCCATTCTGTCGGGCACAGCTTGCGCGATGCGCTCCACAGCCGAATGATGTCTGGGAGAAGGCCGATCGACCTGTCTGTCGTGGGCCCTTTGCGTAATAAAGCAATTAGCACTGTCATGATCTGCCATGGCCAAGCGCCGTGAGACTCACAGGCGTTGAAAAAGTGAACAAGATCCTCGACTCCTCGAGACGGTAGGTACTTAAATGCTCCACCGATCTGCTCTACACCTGAAGCCTTGTTCGAGTTGACACTGTCGATGGCGAGGGACACATCAGTTGACGTAAGTAGTGGCAGAGGATCCTCTCGAGCACGGGCATGCGCCTCCCGTAGAAGGCCAAACACCTTAGCCTGCGAAAATCTCGGGGAGGTCCATTTCTTCTGCCATTGACCGCGCTTGACTGCAAGCATCTCTCGAAAGGAAATGGCGTTCTCGCCGTTGTACCTCAGCTCGTTCTCCGACCTGGCCTTGGGCTTGACGCACCTATGTAAACTGCCTACTGATGACTCGAGGCTCTCAGAAATCCAATCTCGAAGCTTTTTGTATGAGGCTGAAGCCGACTTCCTCTCCAAGGGTTGAGCGATCTTGTGCGTGCTGTCCTTTAAAATCTCCAATGCCTCGAAGGAGAGGTTGTGAATATTCAATAAACTGGTCGCCCATGCTGGGCGATCTTCCGACAGGGCCATGCCCCGGCCAACATTGGGCATGTCTGAAACTGCTCGTTGCAAATGTTTGGTAAGGAAATCGATTCGCTTGTATGGTGTCGAACGGTCTCTGCCCGTGATAATGTCCGTTCTTTTCAAAGGCTGCCGTATGTTCAACATTCCCCCTAACCAACTGTCGACTTGCATCCACCATCTAATCGAGCTGTCGGTATGGGATCTGGCGGATCTGGGTAGAGATACGGCGACTGTCTTGAATGAGCGCGGTTCTGCTCGGCCGCAGCGCTGCCAAGCTGTAGATTCAGGTATGTCCAAGATTCTGCACAAATGCTGCTCCATGCAAGATACAAAGTGTCCGTATCTGATCCCAAGAGTTGTCGATGAATCTGGTTGGTACTTGAAAGCTAACGACTCGGATATCGAGGAAGGCGGTTCTGTCCCATAACTGATTCAAATCAGTAGACTCCCATGTAACTGCTGGTTCTGATCTGTCTCGGACAGGTTCGACTCTCTCCTCAGTGCGTTCCGCGACAGCGGTGCCCCATAAAACCTGCAAAGATTCCTGATCGTAGTCGAAAAAATCCTTGATCCAAAACTTCCGAGCCCTCTCTGGGAACGGGGTCTGAATGTCCTGGAACGGTTCCGAGTTCTCAACTTTCTCATCCTCGTCCCCAGGAAAAATCAATTCATCATCATCCTCCTTTCTCGCCTCCTGAAGACCTGCGTCTGTCGGCGCGGCCTTCTTGGACTTGTTCTCCAGCTTCTTCCGACTGCGCTTGCTGTCGGGGTCGGCAACCCGACGCTTCGGCGGCGGCGGCTGGAAGAGGCGAGGGAGGTCGAGCACCCTGCGCATGTTATTAGATGCTGCTGAGAATTTCAGACCAAAAGGCATTCCATAGTGGTCTCCACCTCCGGGAAATATGAGCTGCGATGAAACGTATAAATCTCGGAAGTCCTTGGAGGCGATACAATAACCGATCAATCTCTGGCCTGTACCTCGCGTCGAAATGTGAGCGGTGCCTTCTGGAAAGAAAACGTCTACCGACCACTTATGAATCCGACTGCTCATCTCCTTGGGCGTGGCATTGAAGTCGCCGAAAACCGCCCACTGGCCAGTGCGCCTCGCCAACAGAGCCGAGGCCGCGAGCAGTTTCTCCGCGTCGGCGCCGCTGGAGACCCCCACGGATGCTGTCGAATACACACCCACAACTAATATAGATGCATGCTTCGTTCTCCACTCCAGAGCAACAACATCGCGAAAGCAAAGTGGACCTGGGGTCCACTTGTCTGTGAAGTCAACGAAACCAATAGTGCCCCCTCTTGTCGGCGAGGTGTCGAAAAGTCTGGAAAGTATTATGCCTGCGTATACCCATAACAATGCCGCCTGCCCTGCCTCTGTCGCGAGTTCTGCAAGCGGGGGACACCAGTCCAGCATACCTGTTCAAAGCAAACAAATAGGAATGTCATTCGAGCCATCCTCGAGGACACGTGATTCTGGAGTGATGATAATATCTGCTGTCTGATCTGAAAAAAGCTTCTTGGCCTTAGTACACCACAAGGATAAGTTGTGTAAAATAAGTCTGCGAACCGCTGGGGGCTCCTTGATCACCCCCTTCTTCTTCTTCGGGTAAAGCCAGGCGGTGCTAAACTGCAGACTTGTCTTCGCCCGCATCTCCAGCACTTGCCTTGGCTCTCTCGAAGGCCTGTGAGTTGTTGTTCCTCGCCCGCTCCAAGACTTTCTTAACTGCCTCCTCTGGTGGTTCTTCCACTGGCTGCGTTGCCTCTGCCGAGGCCGAAGTAGCCGAGTCCTGTCCATTAGATGAGCTCGAAGCACCTCCTGAGTTAGCAGCCGCTGCGTCGGGATCAGCATCTGGAGCCTGGTCTGGGTCCTGCTGCGCGTCCTTGGAATCCTTCCCTGCCGCGGCTGCGCCCATGTCCGTCTTGCGCTTCTTGATCGACATCCTGTATTTAAAGTCCTTGGATTCCTGCTTGCGGGCTGACAATCCTTGAGCAGAAGGTCCCACGGCACGTACAATAATATATGTGATATTATTGGCGAGTGTTTCTTTGAACGATTGCCATTGTTTGATCTCTGCTGGGTCCAAATCACAATCTGAAGTGTCGAATGATTCACCATCTTCGAAATGAAGTAACTCCGACAAGGCTGAATCCTCTGTGGCGGCCAACAGAGCTGAGAAGTTGATCGCGGCCTTGGGCTTCTCGACGCAATGAGACTGACCGCTCGCCGCGGCGGTCGACTCCATCTGTTGTTGAAGTTGTTTCTTGCACGCTGCGTCAGCAATGGCGGCTTCTCGTGCCAACTTTGCAACATCTGCTTTGGCGCGCAATCCGCACTGCTCACATTCTGATTCATGTCGTACAGCTTTGTCCAGAGCTTCTTGTGCACGTCGTGCTGCAACTCCAGCGGCCTGAAGCTGTTGTTCTCGAGCGAGAGCTGGACGAACTGGTGCTGGCTTGGGTGGTTCTGGCTTCTGAACTGCTGCTGCCGACGCCTGGAACTGCGCGGCGGTGTTGGGAGGGAGCTTGCGCTCCAAGCACTGCAACAACTGCTCAGTCGTCGGCGAGAAGGGGGTGTCGTTCTGGAGGGTCCCTTGGTCGATGTTCCAA